AGGCAACAAGGCACCGTGGGAAGATCAGGAGAGGCCCACATTCCTCTGCTGAACATGGGAAAGGGTGTAAAACGTCTTAGAAATGTTTTCATTTAAAGTGATCAAACTAAACAAGATTGGTACTGAACACACGAAGCATGATTGTAATGCTTGCACACACACACACACAGAGAGAGAGAGAGAGAGAGAGAGAGAGGCACTGTATAGATGGCCCCAGACTTAGAATGGTTTGATGGAAGATTTTTCAACTTTGAGATGATATAAAAGCCATGCGCATTCAGTAGAAATTGTACTTCAGATGTTGGATTGTGATCTTTTCCTGGGCTAGCAGCTTGATTGTCTGGTGATGTTGGGCAGCGGCAGCAGCAGAGCACAGATCCGTCAGTCCCACAATCCCAAGGGGAGAACACTCACAGTCTACAATAAATTGTGCTATTGGGATAGGCCGGTTGGTGGGTCAGGGCTATTCAACGCATTTCCCACTTATGACAGTTCCAACTTAGGATGCGTTTATTGGGACATTAGCCCAATCGTAAGTCAAGGAGCATTTGTGTTCTGTGAAACACACTGAATTCAGCTTTCCAGATTTTTTCCCTCGCAGGCAATACAGTTCTGGTTTGGAGGGGTGGGGGGGGGGAGAATGTATTCCATTAATGTACGAACCGTCACCCGGATCCTTGATTCTCTGAACTCTTCAAACTCCTCTGGGACAAGTGGCATGTCCAGTGCAGCCTTGCTTCCCCGGGGACATTGGCTGGCAGGTCGCCTCAGAGCAGACATCACTCAGCATGAGAACTGCTGTTTCCTGTCCTGAGGCCCAGCCACATGGACACACGCTTTTACTGGTGTGAGCACAAAATTTATTTCCTTTCGCAAAAAGGGATAAGATAATGCCTTATGTTTTGTTTCTTTTTTATTCCCCCCCGTGTTTCAAATTTGTTGCCTTTTTGATGCTTCCAACCACACACTGCACAGACACCTTCAGGGACTGCTCTCCGACAACTCCCAGACCGCGTTCCTGTGCCAGAACCGATGGCTTGAAGAGAAACAGCTTGTGGATAGCTTTCGGTTCATTTTCCTAGAGAGGCAGTGCTTTCCGCTTGCTCACGCAGAAGCTCAGCTGTCACTTTCTCACACAGGAATACAGGCTGCAGGAAACCTCCTGTCATTTATGCACTGACCCGAGAGTTTTGAAATGTGCAAAGAAGCAGTGTCTTGATCACTTATAAATTGTATCTTTTAAACATATTTTATTGAGTAAAAACTTATGTAGAGCCTCCCACCTGATGAGCTCTAGTCTAAGTAATTTATAAATTTAATGAAATGAAGCTCATCTTTTTTTTTTTTGACAGGCAGAGTGGACAGTGAGAGAGAGAGACCGGTCTTCCTTTGCCGTTGGTTCACCCTCCAATGGCCACCACGGCCGGCGCGCTGTGGCTGGTGCACCGCGCTGATCCGATGGCAGGAGCCAGGTGCTTCTCCTGGTCTCCCATGGGGTGCAGGGCCCAAGAACTTGGGCCATCCTCCACTGCACTCCCTGGCCACAGCAGAGAGCTGGCCTGGAAGAGGGGCAACCGGGACAGAATCCGGTGCCCTGACCGGGACTAGAACCCGGTGTGCCAGTGCCGCAAGGCGGAGGTTTAGCCTAGTGAGCCGCGGCGCCGGCCTTAAAAATATTTTGATAACTATATTATTTCAACATAGTTGGTTTCCTTAGTAATCCTTGGTATTTTATTTCATGCATTTCAGAACCTTATTCAGGTAAGAGGGCCATGGCACCAAAAATGTTAAGGAACCTTTCTTTATATTCTCTTTAGTCATAGTCGGCTGAGGCTGGAGATTAAATGGGACAGAGATAGGAAGGCCTCAGGAATCCTGCATCCTCACTGCAGCTCCGTTATCTACTTAGCAGTGTGCCCCAAGGTGTGGTTCTTCACCTTTTGGGATTGTTTCCCTTATCTGTAATCAGGGTGAGGGAGCTGGCTCCCCCGCTGCCCCTGCCCCTGCCGGCTCACAGACTGTTGGGAAGATCAAAAGACATAATGCCTGTGCACAGAGTTGCTTTGAAAAACACTTTACCACTTGAAAGAAGGGCGAGAGCATATAAGGTATTTAGTGCGGAATATTAATGAGTTAAGACTGCAGAGGTCTGATCCCTTAGAGGGTTACTGGTGTTGGGGTGGTCTAACATTCAACACACGTGAATGAATGCAGCTGGGCAGAATCCGCGCTACTGTGTCCTGCATAGCATTTTCCATGCAAGAGCTGATATCATCGCCAGGAGGCTGGGTAGCCTTGAGAGCGCACACCCATGTGGGATGGATTTCTTTTCCTTCTTCCCATGGCCCCAGTAATTAATTGCTTCTGCATGCCTTTGAGATCTTCTTGCAAGATAGAAAATTCAGGCAAGCAGAGCGCTTCAAAGCTTACTGTCTAACTGAAACACTGGGAGGCTGTGATGGATCTTGGGCCGTGGGAGAGGAGATAAGGCCCCTTTGGCCTCCTGGTTAATGGGATGTGTTCTTTCCTGTGGTGGGAGGGGTGGAATTGGAAGGACACTAGACTACAATTGGGAGACAGCAGAAGGAAGGTTCCTCCCGATGGCAGGCATGGGCCAGGCATTACCTACATCTTCTGGAGCGTTGTTTCATAAAGTATCCTGACGTCCTCTGAGCCGGCAGGTCTCGTTCTTCTTTTCATTTACTGTGTGGATTTACGGAATCTCCAATATGGTAAAGGTAGCTCTGGCATAATCAAAGCTGTGTGATGCTGATTACTAGTTGAACAATGATTATAGCTTTTTATTGGGCATTTACTTTGCCAGGCATCCTACTGGGCATTTTACATCATTTCATATATATTCTAGTGTGCAGGAATCACTAATCAATGTTAGATTTTTTGAAAAAAAGATTTATTTACTTGAAAGGCAGAATGATGAGAGAGTGAGAGAGAAAAAAAGAGAGGAAGGAGGGAGGGGGGAGAGAGAGGGAGGGGGGAGACAGAGGGAGAGAGGGAGAGAGAGGGAGGGGGGAGTGAGAGGGAGAGAGGGAGGGAGAGGGAGAGGGAGGGGGGGAGAGGAGGAAGAGGGAGAGAGAGAAAATCTTCTATCTGCGGTTCCACTCCTCAAATGGCTATAACAGGTGGGGCTGGATCAGGCTGCAGTCAGAAGCCAGGAACTCCATCTGAATCTCCCACGAAGGTGGCAGGGTCTTAAGCACTTGGGCCATCATCTACTGCTCTCCAGGCACATTGACAGGAAGCTGGGTGGGAAGTGGAGTGGCTGGGACTTGAATGGCAGTCCAGTATGGGATATGGGTGTCCTAGGTGACAACTTAGCCACTGCACTGCAGTGCTTGACCCCAGCACTGGCTTTCATCATTATTAGTATGCATAAGAATGTAGCTTATTTAGAGTGGTACACAGCGCTCAGTTAACATTTACTGAGCAACTTCATTGCACCAGGTCCTAGGCATGTGGCAGTAAGCAAGACAGATGAGGACCATACTTTCATGGACCTTACAGCTTGGCGGTAGTGGGGGCACAGACAGAAATAGTTCAGGTCTCAAGAGCAAGACATCATTACCACCTCATCCACATAATTCATGGTTGATTAACACACTGAGATTTTGTGCTTTTCACTAAAGGGTGCTGGACTTAATTCAATGGGTTAAAAGTGCCTCTTCTACCTCCTTGAAGGCAAAAGCCAACCACATTCATTTTGTATCTCACAGTGCCCGGTAGTGTCTGAAACAGAGTAAATGTTTGGAATAGTTTGAACAGATGAATTTTCTTTTTTCTTAAAGATTTACCTTATTTATTTGAAAGGCAGAGCTATAGAGATAGAGATCTTCCATCCACTGGTTCACTCTCCAAATGGCTGCAATGGCTGAAGGCTGGGGCAGGCCAAAGCCAGAAGCCAGGAGCTTCATACAGTCTCAAACGTGGGCGCAGGGACCCAAGCACTTGGGCCATCTTCCACTGATTTCCCAGGTGCATGAGCAGGGAGCTGGATCAGAAGTGGAGCAGCTGGGACTCAAACTAGGGCCCATATGGGATGCTGGCACTGCAGATGACAGCTTAACCCGTTACGCCACAGTACCGGCCCCCAGATGAACTTTCTTTTTCGAGATCCTGCAACATGATGTAGCCCCACAGTTCTCGGGTGAATAAAAAATATTTTTGCAAAACGCAGGTGAGGTCCTCAATTTTAACTGACTCCAAATCATAGTAAGTTTGATTGGAAATTCATTTTGGGCCAGGCGTTGGTTGGGAAATGCAGATGCCTTCTTGTGAATCTTTACCACCACTCTGTGACAGGTAATGTAATATTCCTCCTTAATTTTGCCTACAAGGAAATTGAAGCTTTCAGTGTGTCCATGTAATTTGCCTAAAGATACCCAGCCTGACTGCATACTAGGCGCTCAGCAGATGGTAGCAATTCTGAAAAATGAAATCAGTTTATTGCATGGACTACCCAAGACAGCTTAGAATCCCAAGGGCTCACAGCTCTGCTGGTGAGTCGAAAGTTCTTGTATGGATACACTGTCTTTTCAAATAATACAGTTTATTCTTCATTATATGAATAGCACACATTTTGTGGCTTGAACTTTTAAAAATACTCTAACTTGAACATCAATATGTGTCTAATTTTCTCTGAAAACTAACTTTTTCATTTGTATTGAAGTTTTTAAACAAGCAATATTAATTAAAAGAATTGGACCTAGAGATATCACAGGACTGGGGAACAAGATGAAACAACCATTTGTGAACGGGGCCATCAAAGAAGGAGGTACCTTTCTCTGAAGGGAGGAGAGAACTTCCACTTTGACTATGACCCTGTCTGAATAAGATCGAAGTCGGCGAACTCAAAAGGCTTCCATAGCCTTGGCAACTCATGACTAGAGCCTAGGGAGATTACTGACGCCATAAACAAGAGTGTCAATTGTTAACTGTTAAGTCAACAACAGGAGTCACTGTGTACTTTTTTTTTTTTTTTACAGGCAGAGTGGACAGTGAGAGAGACATAGAGAAAGGTCTTCCTTTGCCGTTGGTTCACCCTCCAATGGCCGCGCTGATCCGAAGGCAGGAGCCAGGTGCTTCTCCTGGTCTCCCATGGGGTGCAGGGCCCAAGGACTTGGGCCATCCTCCACTGCACTCCCGGGTGGGATCTGTCCTTAATGTGTTGTCCAATGTGAAGTAATGCTATAACTAGTACTGAAACAGTATTTAACACTTTGTGTTTCTGTGTGGGTGCAAACTGATGAAATCTTTACTTAATATATACTAAATTGATCTTCTGTGTATAAAGATAATTGAAAATGAATCTTGATGTGAATGGAATGGGAGAGGGAGTGGGAGATGGGAGGGGTGCGAGTGGGAGGGAAATTATGGGGGGGGGAAGCTGTTGTAATCCATAAACTGTACTTTGGAAATTTATATTTACTAAATAAAAAATAAAAAAAAGAAACAACCATTTGTAGAACAACAGAAGGCTTCTACTCATTATCTGGGAAAAAATCTAACTACTGTATCATAAAAATAACAAATCTGCAATATTTCAAAATTTTGGGGGAACAACAGAATCATAAATAGCACTGAGAATTTGTAAGGTAAAATAGCATCATTAGCAGATTTCTCTGGTGAATGAGAAAGATTATGAGAGATGGTATGTGCTACAGTTTGATTATACGACACAACACAAGTGTATTCCATTTTTACACCTTATAACAACTCTGGACTCATATATTATGGTTCTCCAGAGAAGCTGAACCAGTGGCAATTTTGAGTCCAGTTTGCGGCTGTCTGGAGGCAGAATTCCTTCCTTGGGTGACCTTAGTCTTTCCAATTAAGGCCTGCAGCTGGTTGGATGAGGCACACCCACATCATGGTGGGGGATCTGCTTTACTCACTCTATGCTGGTTTTAAGTGTGAATCATATTGAAAAGACACCTCTGGGGCCAGCGCTGTGGCATAGTGGGTAAAGCCACCGCCTGCAGTGCCAGCATCCCGTATGGGTGCTGGTTTGAGACACGGCTGCTCTACTTCCGATCCAGCTCTCTGCTGTGGCCTGGGAAAGCAGTAGAAGATGGCCCAAGTCCTTGGGACCCTGCACCTGCATGGGAGACATGGAAGAAGCTTCTGGCTCCTGGCTTCCCATCGGCACAGTTCCAGCCATTTTGGCTAATTGGAGAGTGAACCAGCAAATGGAAGACCTCTCTCTCTCTCTCTCTGCCTCACCTTCTCTCTCTGTGTAACTCTTTCAAATGAATAAATAAATCTCAAAAAAAAGATACCTCTGGGGGCAGGCATTGACGCAGCTGTTAAGATGCCACTTGGGATGCCCGTATCCCCTATCAGAGTGCCTCGGTTCCACAGCCAGCTCCAGTTCCAGAGTCCAGCTTCCTCCTAATGCAAACTCTAGGAGGCAGAGGGTGATGGTCCAGGCAGGTGGCTCCCCGCCACCCACATGAGAAATCTAGGTTAAGTTTCAGGCTTCTGGCTTTGGCCAGACTCAGCCCTGGCTCTTGTGGGCATTTGGGAAGTGAACCGTGGATAGAAGACCTCTGTCTCTGTCTCTCTGCCTTTCAAGTAAAATGAACAAAATATCTTTGCACCAACACCTATATCAGTTTGATCAAGTAATCGGGCACTATAGCGTAGTCCAATCACAGTGAACCTCCCAATCAGGCTGTGTATGACACCGACAGGGGGATCAGAAAGTGAAAATACACAATGTAAGCAGATGAAGTGAAGGAGAGCAGTGTTTAGGTGTGGCAGCTGTTGTCTTAAAATCCCACTTTTATTTATTGTAATTAAATAAGAAGTAACTGATGAGCGGAACATTTCCCTTGATGGCATAGATATTGTGAAACTAAGGCTGTGCAAGAGCCCCTGAGCCTGATGAATCAGAGGCTTCCACAGCGCTGGTGACAGAGACGCTTCCGTGAGGAAGCTGTGCAGAAACAACCCTCGCTTCGTGCTGGTGCCACAGTGGGAGCTGCAGGGGGAAGCCAGCTTTCAGCACGAATGGGCTGCTCTGGACGCAATTCTAGTTGTCAAGGCAGCTTGGGCATCTTCTTCCAACAGCCTGGGAACCCCAAGGAAGAACTGGAGACGACCTACTCAGGGAATACTTAGTTATTCAAAACAGAACACCAAACTGAGGTATAAAAAGAGATATTTATCTTTTAAAAATACAACTTTGAACACTACTGACATTTCATTTACAAAGTCTGTTTGGGACGTGTTGTGCACTGGCTTTGCTAATTCAGTACATTCTCTTACCTTCAATAGAAACTTAGGGAGGGCATGTTTGTGTTATTTTAGGTGCTGCCACTACCACCATTGCCACCAGACACACACACACACACACACACACACACACAGGCCATCTCAGGATATTAGCTCCACCCTTACCCTGTCTTCTCCCTTTTCCACTGACTGAGCAGGACTTCCTGATTGGCCTGCTTGCACCCTGCCATTGCAGTCTGTGGTTGGGCACTGCAGAAGAGGAGGTACCACCAGCGATCAGCACACCACATGGAGCTGACCTGTGGGCAGGAAGCCCCACGTGCCTTGGCCCATTGTTACACATTAAGCCATTACTATTAACACTCATATCAACTCTTTGCAGACATTCGGCATGAAGCCAACATAGCACTTATAGCGGTACACGGTTTGCAAGTCAACTCACGGACAGCACAGGAAAAGGGACTGTAAGGAGGCCACAGGGGAATGGATGTTAAAATAAATCCCTTTGGCTAAGGTGTGTGGGTGTGCGCGCATTGTGTGCGAGCCCACATGCGAGTGTATTTTAATTCATAGAAAACTAAACATGCCCTCCTTTAAAAGCAGACTATTTACAAGTGATTCTGAATAGCACGAACACATGCCAGTCAAACTGGATACTTGCCTTCTGCGAATGAATACATACATCCAGGTTTTGTTTGTAAAATTCTGAAATAGAGCTTTTGTTTGCTATATTAGAGAAAATAACTTTGGAACATTTGTCAACTTTTGGTTCATAGTAATTTTGCAAAAAGCCACAAACCATGCTTTGTCATTTACAGGGTAAACTTGGTTAAGCACCTTCTAGAAGACACTGATGTGTTACTCAGTTACTGGTCTACTGGGGATGGGAAAGACAATGGCAGTTACACGAATACTGAGGTCCCTCCCGTTCCTTTCACCAGCAGCAACACTGATGTGAAGAGAGGGTTGCAAACACAAATCACATACAAATCATCGAAAACATTTCAGTTAACAGTGTTGAAAATAAAATGCCAAGGTCTACAACAGTAGTACAGACACTGAAAACACTTCCAAACACTCTTTAGCCTCAGGACGTTTTCAATAGCACTAATAAGAAAAGACAACCAATTGCCAGAAAGGGGAGAAGTTACAGCACTGGAGGTTTGAGGCAATTTCTTCTTAGGGCCTGTAGCTCGAGGTGCTGTTCTAGGATCCTTATGTTAACTCTGCCGATATTCCAGGAATGAAATACCAAATGTAAAGCAATTTCCACTTGAAAACCATCGAAAATATAAATCGCTTTCTAATCTTGTCCAACATACATTTATTTCCAGGATCCTAAGTTGTTAGGCAAAGAGATTCAGGTCAGTTTCAAGCCCTCAAAGCCACAGAATTTCCATCTCTTCTCCAGGCTGGCTCCAACTCCAGTCATTTCCTGCTTGAAGGTATGCTGGAGTCTACTCATGAGACCTTCCACATCACTGGTGCAGATCTGCAGGACAGAGAGGACACCTCCATTGAAAGCCAGTTCCGCTCTCCCAACCTGGTGCCTTTTTCTTTTCCCTGGCATTGCCTGCTTGAGAATGCTGATATGCATGGGTGTATGTGTGTGTGTGTGTGTTGGTAGAATGACTGCCAGACAGACAGCAGTGTTCCTCTGCCTGACCACCAGATAGAGGCCACTGAGCTGACTACTGGAAAGAGCTGGTGTCAGTCATGCAGAGAGGCCTGGGTTTGTAGTCACTGCTCAGTGCTGGTGATGCTATGTGCAAGCCCACTGAAGCTGCCAAGTAATCTGGGAGGGGAGGGAGGCAGAAACGGCTGCCAGCAGAGCAGAATTCTTCCCACACACATTGGTTCACAAAGGAAAAAATAACAGGAATGAGGAATACTCTGTGTTCCTACTTCTGTGCATTGGCGCCATCCTCCCCGCCCCTTGAATCTCTCTCTCTCTCTCTCTCTCTCTCACACACACACACACACACACACATACACACACACACCTCAATACATCAGCAAACATAAAATAATTCTGGGAAGCATTCTTGAATAGCCATGAACCTGGTTACCGGGCCTTGCCTGAAAAGCACCAGGGACTCCTTCAAGAAAACTAGAGTTGTTCCAGAGGCTGGAGGGAGGGGGCCTCCAGCTCTGTTGGCGCTACTGCAGGCTCTCCCAGTACTACTCTGTCGGGAAGCCAAGGAGGAACTGGGTCTAGGATAGGAGCGGTCAGGCCTCCTTTTCAGTGCTGACAGCAGACCTGCCCCAGTTAAGCGAAAGAAGCAGGCTACAAGGTACCATGCGCGATAGAATGCCCACATCAGAATCACAGAGAATGTTCACAGATATGTAAATAGGCTACAGGTACGGCACACATATAGAAGAGGGTCTGGAAAGTATGCCAAATTAGTAACAGTGATTACCCCGAGGCGCGGATTGTAAGTAAGTTTCACTTTCCCTTTTTTTCTATACTGCTTGCGTTGTTAAGCATGATGTATGTATTTTTTTTCTGTAAATTAAAAAACAACCAGAGACTTCTGACTGACCCAGAGTTTAATTTCATAGTATTGCCACTGGCCACGTATCTTCTCCTTCACTGCCACCTGGGCTGATTACTGCAGAGCAGAATCGTTTGCACAGGGAAGGAGGAGCAGTGCTAGCCAGAGCGGAAACAAGCGCCACGGCGAAGGATGCAGCGCCACACTGGGAGCATGGGGAAGCAGTAAGACGCCCAGCTGGGCCAGTGCCACCGTGGAGAGGGTGGGTGCTTACACGGCCCAACATTCTGGGCATCCACTAGGAGTCTGCACTCCATGGCACTTCTCAAGAGGCCCAGGCCTGGGAAATAGTGAGTATACTCCACGAACAGGTTAAACTGAATGCTGCGTCTAAAAAACCTGCCTCATGAGCCTATTCACTCTGAGGGGTCCAAGTCCCCTCCAGCCTCTAACAGACACCCTTGACTTCCTAGGGAGTTGGTACTTACCTTGCTGCAGAGTGACCCCAAGGACTAGCATCTGGGGCGAGAACTGACCTATGAGATCAGCTATGAGCAAATATTCAGTCTGTGTTATAGATGATCTTAGCTCACTGTTTCATCTTTTTAATATTTTGCTTGTGGACAGTAAAGTCACCTATTCACAAGGAAGCCTGCATTCTCTTGCACCCCCATTTTGGGCCCCCACATACCTGATTATCAAGACGATGCA